GGCGAATTTAAAGCTGGATCCGCCCCTGTATTGAGCAATGTTTGAGCCAGTTTTTGCTGATTCCTGCTAAACTAATAACGAACAAATTTTGCTGGACAACGTGATTGAAATGCCATCAGAAGCCCTTCTTTCACTGCTTCCAACCTTGATAGAAGTCATTCTACGCGTACGTATAATTATTCAAAGTGCAGGTGTCCGATTTCGTCGTTAATGAGTTTATTATAAGAACTATTATTGTCATGACCTGCAGTTGTTGAGGAGAACGATTTAATTCAATCAACAATTTCTGCAACTAATTCACTTTTTCAGAGATATGGAGACAAAACAAAGCAGCCCAGAGATACCGTCCACTTTGGATGGTGTATTCCGGCTGCTTGCACCATTCCCGATTTGGAGCTCTCTTTGAACGAACATTTGCAAAATGTGGACACTCCTTTGAGGAACAAGAATATCTCCTATTCGGCCAGTGTGAGAAAGGAGTTTTGCGCCCGGGAATCAGACGCGGGAAATTACACAATCGCGGACTATTCCTTCGCGTCAGTAACATGTTAAAGAGTATAGCAAAAAAACGGTAAATTGCTGTCAATTGCAGGTTGCTTACCCTGATATTTGTGCTGCTGGTTTTTCTATCCACTGCATATGATTATCAAGCAAACAACAAGCAATCAGAGGAGAAGGCAAAGAAAAGTAAGCCTAACTAATGGACGAAGATTCCAGAATATTAATGAGCCTCGGCTCGTTTTTAGAAACCAGAAACCAAAAATTCCTTCTGGCATTTTCTGCCAGAGCCAATTTTACAGAGATGTCCCATATGGAGACATCGAACCCCGATTTGGGCGTTTTGAATGGGTTGAGGACAATCGCCATTTTTGTCATCATCATCGACCATCGGTTTGGAACGTTCACGTCTTCGGCTTTGATCAACTTCAATTATGTAGAACAGGTAAGGAGTGGGGGAATCTTGAGGACTAAGATGACCAGGAAAAGTACATTTTTTCTAGCAATTCAGAGCGCCCTTTGCTTGTGTGGTATTCCATGGCGATCTCTTCGTAGATTCGTTTTTCCTGCTGAGCGGGCTTTTGGTAGCTTACGGGCTGCTCGTTCAGTTCGACAAACGGATGGTAAATCCAGGATTCATTGTGTTCTTGAGATACATTCGGTGAGAATTTGCAAGTAATTATGCACAAAGCTTTACCTACTAAAATGCTCTTTTCGCATTAATCGTGATTGTTCTAGTGCAAACAGGATAATTTGCGCCTCAAAGTAATCACATTTATAATAATGTTGTTCCTAATTTATTTTTCACAATTTGCATGTGTAATTACGGGCAAAAAAGTGCATTTAAATGGAACATAGGCGGGACTGGGTTTTAATTGCGTACCGAAGTTTTTTGCTGTTGGAAAGTGTAATATGCAATAGAACAGAACTATGCATCATACTGATTGCATTTTTATTCGCAAAGTGTTTTGATAGTTTGAAAATGCCTTAAATAGATAGAGATAGAGAAAGATATTAGCAGGCTTCTTAACGGTGATCCTAAATTGAACTTATTCAGTTAGGAGAGTCTGGTTGGGACTAAGTCCGAACTAAGAATGAAAGAAATA